ATCTAGTGAAATTGCATAAATTTGAAGTGTTCAATGGTCTAATTGCACGCTTTTAGAGTGTTCAGTGACCTAATTGCACTTTTTTTCCGTTCAGTGTCCTAATTGCATTTTCAAGTTACGTTCAATGGCCGATTTGAACCTTATTCCTAAAAGAAATATGTGATAAGGGTCAAATAGACTCTTCAATTATAAGTCAAAATGTAATTAACTCCTTGTACTAACAAAAGCTCCAATTAGACCCATCATCTTTTCACTTTTATGCAATTAAGTTAATTAGCATATTACATATAAGTCAACGGAATTTTTTTTTTTTTTAAAATTAATTTAAATAAAAAATATATTTTTAATTCAAATAAATTAATAAATACACAAATATTCGCAACTGACGAAAAAATATATTCACTATTTTCTGAAAAGTTCATAGAAGAAATCAATATAATCCGAAAATACTTTAAAAATTTGAATTTTTCTGTAGAAAAAGTGACAAAAACATCAAGTTAGATGAAAAATAACATGTCACCATTTTATTTTTCCATGTCAACAAATTAGATAAGTTACTTGCTATAAACAAGATAAAAATGCTAGATGAAAAATAATTGGGAGTATAATAACGTAGATGGACCATATTTTAATTCATGGTGAATGATACACAATCTTAGTACATGGGTCTATTGATCCTTTTGCCTAAAAATAATAATTGTAAAAGTAATTTAAGAGTTAATAAATTAACACAATATGTTTATGCCCTTATATATATGTCATTTAACATACAACTACTAATTCACCCGCTCGATGCACGGGAAAAAATTATGTTATTATAATATAAATAAAAAATAAAAAAACTAAAATATTTTAAATTATTTAATATAATAATATTTTTGAGCTTCCATTAGTCAAGTATTTATTATTTTTATAGAATACAAAATTAAAATTAAAATTAAAATTATAATTTTGTATGGTTAATATAATCTCTAATTATGTGCATATTCAAATAAACTTATAGAAAGAATTTACATAATTACATTGATTTATTCTTAATTGTATTTCATCTATATTATAATTTTCACAATACGAATAATAACTAAGATAATTACATTTGTAAAACAAATTTCAAATTTTGTATGTGTAAATTTAAACTCTAATTGAACACATTTTTTATATGATTATATAATATATAGCTATTTTATTTTTCAAAAGTATATTTTTTATATGATTATATAATATATAGCTATTTTATTTTTTAAATGTTTTTTTTAAATAATAAAGGATGTTGTGGCATTAATTGTAACATTAATTATTTTCCAAACCATATAGCTTTATTATATAAAGGATTAGTTAAAAGTAAACAATTAATTTACCTCTTTTTTTTTTTTTTTTTTTTTTTTTTTTTTACAACTAGCTAATATTATCCGCGAATAAACTAGCTAACTCATTCAACTATCAACTGTCGACTAACTTAATCATTTGTTAGTCATTTGCTAAACACCCCTAAGTTTGTTTTGAGAAAATTCAAAATTAAAATGAAACAATTCATTTGTTATTCACATTCATTAATGGGCTAAAATATGAAAGGATAATAAGAATGATTAATTGTAAGACTGGACACTCATTTGAGATGCATTGTTATGAATTGTGATGTTTGTGCTCATAAAAAATGTACGATTTTATATATAATTGTCCGTGAGGTAATTGATCAAAGTCGTAATTTCATGCATATACCAAATAATTAAAAACTAAAATAACTACTTTTTCATGTCATAAGGGATTTTTGGAGGGGAAAATTGAGACAACAAAGCATTTTCCTTTGCAATAATCGTGGAAGGAAAAATGTTGACAATTTGTCTATAAAGAAATATACTCCGTATCAGGAAATAGAAATAAGAAAAACATCAACCGTTGGATCAAAACTTAATCCATCGCCACATGAGTATAAATGAAACTTTTGCCCTAATGCAGATGTAACCGCGCGGGACATATTTTTGGATTCTCCAATTTCGCCTTACCACCGAAAGGAGAGCTAGGTGACTGTGCCGGCGCCGGCGAAAACGCTGTAACGATGAGTCGGAGCTTGGGGATCCCGGTGAAGCTTCTCCACGAGGCGACGGGGCACATCGTGACTGTGGAAATGAAGAGCGGCGAGCTCTACAGGGGAAGCATGGTGGAGTGCGAGGACAACTGGAATTGCCAGCTTGAGAGCATCACTTACACTGCTAAGGTACTTCCACAATATCTACATTTTAAAAAAATGCATATATATTTGATTTGTATCAGTACTATTTTCCTTTGTGCTGTAGTCGGCTCTTCCGCATGATTAAACCCTAAACCCTAGGTCTTTTCAATTTGGTTGCGCCTGCTTCAAGTCTTGAATCTAAATGCAGTATCGAATTTCGTGACATATGACTAGAATGTGGATGTGAAAAATGAAACGGCATTACTATTCTCCTGTGATAATAGAAGTATTTGGTCTTGATGTAGCATAGAAAAGCATTGTGACGTGTCAGTGGTGTTACATGATTTTGTAGAAAGCTTGAAGCCTTAATTATCAACAAAAATTTGAAGCCTTTAGGTGAAAATATTAGTACTCAAATTTAAAGTACTTGTCCTACAGGTTTCCATGTTACTGTAGTTTATTGGCTTGAGAATGCTGGTTTATTATGTGAATCCTAGAGAGTTAATACTCAAAATTGTCCTCGACTATAGTGGTTTTTCTCAATTTCGTCCTAAATGACTTTGGTGACCTAATATAGTCCCAGACTTTTGTGTTTCGCTCAATTTAGTCCATTTGTTATTTTGTCAAATTGGTGTTAAATAAAGAGACAATTCAATAATATCAATATTGACCTCTCTTTACTTTCAACCTGCGAAGTGAGAAATCTCTCTTTCTTACACAAATTACACCCAGAGTTACTCTCATACCTACGAATCAAATTTTATATTCGCAGCTTTAGAAGTGATTCTGAGAGTAATTCGTAAAAAAAGAGGGATTCGCACTTCACATGTCTATCAATAAAGAGATGCCAATATTAAAATTACTGGATTGTCTATTTATTTAACAACAAATGGACGAAATAACAAATGGGGGACTAAATTGAGCAAAAACACAAAAGTCTTGGACGAAATTGAGTAAAAACACAAAACACTGGGACTACATTAAGTCACCAAAGTCGTTTAGGACAAAATTGAGAAAAACGACTATAGTCGAAGACGATTTTGGGTATTAACTCGAATCCTAGATATATTTTGCACTTTTATTTTAACTTCTCCAATGCACTGTTCTCTTCAAGGGAAGTATACTATTTAGTTTTATTTATTCAAATATTTAGCAGACATTGCTTAATTTAAGTGAAACTTTTCTACCACCTTACTCTTCTGAATCAAAATAACTTGCTCTATTTGAAGTAAAAAGAACATGGTGACAATAAATATCTCAGCCTCTCAGGTAAGCAGGAATTGGAACTACAAATATTGAAATTCTTGCTATATATATGTTTCACTGGTTTCTTTGTGTAAGGTGATTGGAAAGCTCTGTAAAGTTGCAAGATTTGGTTGATTTCCTTTTCATTGATGCATCTTTCATGCTAGGTCCTAGGGCTTCTTTGTTGGTTTACTCTTTTCTTTTTCTTTTAGGGATGAAATTCTTTGTGTCCATGTTGGACCCTCATTAGTTGCTATTTTCTGCACAGGATGGAAGGGTCTCACAACTGGAGCATGTTTTTATACGAGGCAGCAAAGTCAGGTAATAATCAGTATTTTCTGTGATTGTTTCAAGCTCTTAAAAGACACTACCTAAAGTAAATTTTTTCACCAGGTTCATGATTATTCCTGATATGCTTAAGAATGCTCCTATGTTTAAGCGCCTAGAAGCTAAAATCAAGGTACTTTACGGGTTAACCTAAATCATTTACCTATCTTGCGCTTTAGTTTGTTAAAGTTTGAGTTTACTTGATGTAGGGTAAAGGTACATCACTTGGAGTTGGAAGGGGGCGTGCAATTGCTATGCGAGCCAAAGTGAGTCCTGCTTTCTTTCATTCTGTTATAAGCATTGAGTCTGAATAATGATTAGTGTTACAATAAAACTGAGATGAGATCAACCATCTGTTACAGTTGGAATGAAGCTCTTAATATATTGTTACTAAACAAAGAAGTATACAATATCCAAATAGTTGGACATTGTGCTAACTCTTGTTATCTACTTTTTTCATGAACAAGATATGGCTCACAATTTTATATCTTGTTTGCAGGCGCAGGCAGCAGGTCGTGGAGCTGCACCCGGCAGAGGTGTTGTGCCACCTGCAAGGAGGTGATCACCTAAGATTGGATTTGATTGCTCTGATCTTATTTGTCTCCTAGAAAGTGTTGGATGTACAATAGTAACTTTTGTTCTAGGAATGATGGCAAGACACCCGAAATGTGGGTGATCTCTCAGATGGGTGCTATATAAAGTTCTCGAATTGGATTTGTCTTAATATATTTCCTTGTACTTTACTTTCTGCCAATTTCTTGTGCTATCTACTTCTTAGTTCATTCTAGGTGACTATTGATGTTTTCAGAACTTATCTTGTTATTGACCATAACTTTCCTGGGCTGATTTATTCTATTTTCTTTTATTTTAACATTTGATATAGCTTGATAGTTATGAGCCCTCTTTGGATTAGATGTCTCTAACACAGTATCATGGGCCAAATAATGATATGCAACAGTCTTTGTTGCATGCTGATTTCTAGTGTGAATTCTTTGTTAATCATTTTTTTTGCTCTTTTTAGTAATCTGGCCCAAATGTCCAAATTTCAAATTATGATACCAGTTTGGTGAGAAGAAAGAAATGGGTAGATGAAACAAATCATATATTCTGTTCCACATACAAATTCATAGGCTTAAGAGACAGGGAATCAATAACAAAGGCATGTATGCACCCATAGCACTAAGCCACCAGAACAAAATAAAAATACAATCCCTATATTGGTATATGCTAAAAACATTCACACCTCAACTCTCAAGAGTAAATCACAATTTGAGATTATGGATATTAATCACATCACGTTAGAACTAACGGTGACATTCTTCATTGGAATCATTGCAGCTGAATAAGATTTTTACATTTCATCGTTCATCACTGTTACAAGAAAAATATCCATACAACTACAGAATCCTTAAGTTAGACACTGAAGATGAACTCCCCAGATATAAACTAGTCAATATGTAGTTGTTATGTACAAGCAAGACCAGCATATTTGCAGTTCTACATCGGGCACGGGAAATCATGTACATTTTCACATTCCGGTTTGAATGTCTGAGGCAGCTCTTCCATCATACTCAACTGCCTCCTTAGCTTAATAATGTCAGTTTGTACCTATTGTAACAAATATCCATCAATTCAATCAGTGATAATTAATCAATTAGGTGGTAACAATCCATCATCATGGTCACATAGTAATCAATCGGATAATCTTAAAGGATGTGAAGCAAAGATCAAGATTTAAAGAGGATCAAGATGTGATTAGGCCCAAGAATAAGGGGGCGATTGAATGTATCAACAAAGTCTCTCAATTGGAATATAATCAGTGTTCTAATGCCTCTATGTCAATATGTGACAACAGATTTCTAATAGTACCAGGGACCAATCAGTTTTGACCATTGCACAGTGGGGGAGGGTATAATAAACAAAGTTACCTGTTGACGAATCCCTGCGAGTTTCAGAAGCTCATCTGCTTCTGAGAAATTGATGAACCACTGCTTAAGTGGATGGTTTTTGGTATCGCCTCTCTTCATTTCATGTGCATCTACTAGGTAAAAAGAAGAATACTTAGGCAATGGTATGGCTGACAGCCTGACATATTGGGACATGAATATCTCTTACCCCGACGTTGAGGCAAGTTAAAAGTGGCAGGAAGCCTTGGCACAACTGCAGCAGGATGACCCTTCACACGGGAAAGGAAATCCTCCGATGGTTCAGGGAATACAATCTCATCATAATTTTCCTTTACAACAGGTTTCTTTGTCGACAGGGGACCAGGCTCATTTTCGGAATATAATTTCAAGGGATGATACCTAAGAAAATAAACAGCAAAGCGATAACATACAAATAGATCGGTGAATAAAAAGACAACCCATAGACAAAATGGACGACTTACAAATCCAATTTCTTTTCTGAGACATCATTGTGAAAATATAGCGAGATTCCAATTTCAAATTCCCCCCAACCACATTCTGATACCTCAAAAGGTGGGGACTCCACCACTCTCACAGGGTTATTGAAACTGGGATGCAATTGGAATACAGCTCTTTTGATAATAATTCCGAGATCCTCATTTGTCGCTCCACGCACATAAACTGTCCACTTATGTGACTGGGTTCTGATCATTAAAGACAAACATTCAACATTACCGAAACCTTTTGAAAAGAAAGGTACACTTAACATACTCTTCATTTCTTCAACTTAGGATCTCACTTACTCGGTGGCCTTCCTGCCAAGCCAAAATGCTATCGTTCCATACACTATTGGGACATAGATCTCAGCATCTTTGAGTCTCTTCTCTGATTTCTATGCAAAACAAATGAAATAAATAGTCATTTACATTGCTAAGAATATGAAACTGGAACTGTATGTCACAGGGACACTCATAAGTCATAATTTGAACCTTGCTAAATTCAAAATTTGAAACAAACAACTTCAATTCCAGTACATAATTTGAGCATTCAAAACCTATAAACACCTAAACAGAGTACCAAATGCATCTCAATAAAAAGTCACAGGCATGATTCCAAATTACCACTATACTACCAAAGAGGAATTAACACTTACAGCCTAGTAAGAACTTACTCCTACTTCCCTATAACTTCGACTCAAGAAATAATAAAAGCTCAAAGCATACAAAACCCCAAATTTAATTAATACCAAAATTATCCGGGCTTGCAATTTGGGAGTATATATTTAAGTAAATAGACGAAATGAGGAGGGAATATGAGCTGTAAGTACCCCCATATGAGTATATGCAGAAGGCTTAGCAATCTGGATAAGCTGGGGCTCTGAAGCCGACGCATTTGCATCCAGGTAAGAGCCACTGTGAGGTCCGGCAAGTGATGTGTGAGGCATTTTCACTTTTTCAGGCCTAAAATATGGCTAAAAATATATATGTAGATTGAAAATTAGGGTGGGAAAAATTGAAGAAATTGGAGTTAGGGTTTTGGGAAATTTGCAAGAGGGGTTTGGTAAAGTAGAAGAAATACGGAGAATTTATGGAGTGAAGTTGAAATGAGTGAATTGCATGGGTTTAAGAGTAGGTGTAACGTCCAATCGCTTGCATGCAATAGGCGCTTCCGGTTGGATACGCTTGTGCCACTTCTTTATTCGATATTCATTCTAAGGGCCACTTTCTTATTCTTCAACTAATTACTCTGAATAAAAAGAGTAATTATATTCTACATATACTCTCATTCTATATTTTCATTTTTTACTACCTATAATATGACATGCTGTAATTGACAAATTATACCATGGATGGTCTACATTTCATTATAGATCCTGGTCTAAAAATAATTTTCAGATTCTATACCTACCGTTAATACATTTTGTACATGCAATTAATCATTTATGTACCTGTAAACAAATTGAAGACGCATCACATGATAATTACATAAACATAACATGACCACTATAAACACAAACTGCTAACTGCAGTTACAAAATATGCTAATTACAGACACATAACATGTTAATCAACATCTTATGTATTTACAATTAACATATTCTATACTTATAGTTAATAATTTATATGTCTATAGTTATCATCCTATATATGTATGTGATTATCATTTTATTTATTTTCAATTTGTTTACATGTATAGAAATGGTTAACCATGGGTACAAAATGTGCTAACTGCAGACACATAATTTTCAGATCAGGGTTCACAATGCAATATGAACCATGGTCCATGATATAACAATTGGCTTTGATTGCTTAATACAAGGGAGGTCATGATTTTTGTCAATTTTGTTTACTCAAACAAAATTTGAACACTTAGTGGAGTAACAGTTAAAAGTAGGTTTTTGGAGTCTAAGTAGTATTTTTGTTAAAATTTGAACCCACTTTTTTTTTTTTTTTCTTTTCATTTTTGGTGGTTTACCATAATTCACTTATAAGTGCACCACAAAGCATTTATAAATGCACCATCGAAATATACATTGTGCATAAAATATAAAAATGTCACTACATTTTTTTCTCTGGTTGATTTTCAGCCACTCGGTGGTGCACCATAGAGTATCAAGTAATGCACCACAGAGCACTCATAAGTCATAAGTGCACCACTGATACATACATTATCAACAAAATTGCCCCTCTATTTTTCTCATTTGCATTGATTTCCATCCGTCTGATCTCATCTCATCCAACGACTTTGGCATGTCCGCACGACCGCACAGGAAGCAATAGCCTCATTTGAGCACACACACTTAGGAGAAAACTAATAACCGATCCTAGTCTTACATATGGAAAAATAGAACAGATTAGATCAAATTTTTCTTAATGCGATGATATTTTTATAATTATCAACTACTTTACTATGCAATCTAGAACACTATACTCTGCACTTCTCAGAATTTGTTAAGAATGCACATTTAATTGTTACAAAGTACACGATTAGTATTAAAAAATTACATTTGGAAAAATGCAAAAGTGATTACACTTAGGGACCGTTTAGTTCACGGAATGTTACATTACCTTAGGGAATGTTAGATTCCCGTGCTTGGTAAAAATTGAGGTATGTAATATAATCATGTTTGGTTTAGGGTTATATATATATATATATATATATATATATATATATATATATATATATATATATATATATATATATATCCTTAACATATTTTCATATATTTTAATAAATTTAAAAATTAAAATAAATAAATAAGATAATTGTATCATATATAATTACATGATTTTAAATTATTAATTAAAATTTTGAACTTAAGAAACAAAATTATTTTATATGCTAACATAACGTAATAAAAATGTATATAATTACAAAAATAATTATAATTATATATATATATATATAAGAAAGTTCAAATGCGGCAGGGTCTTTCCGTGCGTCGGAATTTCATAATACACTAACAGTGTAAGAGAAACACACCACAATGAAATGTAAAAAAAAAAAGAAAAAAAAAACACCAAAAAAATACACAACAGACCCAAAAAAAAATACACCATATAACTCACCACCCTCAATGGTGTATTTCCGAACACTGTATTGTGTTTTTACTCACACCTAATGATGCATTTTTGGTATGCATACCTAATTTGTGTGTGTTTTTGTGGTGACGCCGCACCGCCACACTTAAACCTTACTCAGTTACTCTACACACACACACACACACACACACACACACACACACACACACACACACACACACACACACACACACATATATATATATATATATATATATATATATATATATATAATTAGAATTAAAATGGCAAAATTTATAAATATCTAAGGTTATCTCACATAACCTAATAAAATGAAGGGAATCACATTCCCTTCAAAATCCTATGTGGAGGGAATGTTCCATTTCTTGAGAATGTTATATTCCCTTAGAGAATATGAACCAAACATAGGAATGTAAACTCGGGAATATCACATTCTCTTGATTATGTAATATAACCAGAACCAAACGCCCTCTTAGGTTTTGGATTTAGAGTTTATATGACTAAACTTTTTAATTTTATTTGACTGAGCTTTTTAATTTTATTTAATTTAGGAGTTCAATTTTTACTGCTTAAGTTTAGCATTTACGATTTAGATTTAAAATTTAGTTCTTTTCATTGATTTTTTAAAAGTTATCCAAGAATACATATTTAGTTGTTACAAAGTGCATAATATAGTGTTTTAAGTTGCAAAGTAAAGTCAACGTTTATTACGAAAATGCCAGCGCATATAAATCAAATGATAAACTATTAAAAAAAAAAAATGAATAGCAGTATTGGCCTCCCACTTTTAGGGATGACCACTCTCTAGTTGTCATTTTTTCAAATTGTGATGAATAGATTTTAATAGTATAAGCGAGTCAAATTATTTATGTTTGATTAAGTGAGTACTCAAAAATGATAAAGAATTAAAGATACATTCAAGTTAAGCTCAAACTAAAACAGTTTGGATAACAAGTAGTTAAATTTAAATATCTTGATACTCACGTTCAATCTTTGTCCTCATCATGGATCATGGGAGCGCAATAGGGCGAAAGAAACATTGAGCACCAGACCTCTTATAAAGATTCTCACACTCAGCTTGAACAATTATACTACAAGGCGAAAAGCCGCTTTTTGTTGAACATTGTCACACAGGCAGGCATCACACAGGATGCAACAAAGTTCTGTATCAGATCTAAAGGTGTTTTAATTTCCTTTGGCAAATTGCCCAATCAGCCAACCAACATAAAACGACTACGCATTTGGGTTTCACCCATTAAAACCACGAGAAAAAAAGAAGGAACCTTTACAGAATTCTACAGCTCCACTCACCTAAATCTGCTGGAAGGCCAACAGGTGGGTTGAATGTGATAAAAGCGGGGGCACAAATGCCTGTGTAAGTGTGGCAGACTAGCCATTTAAAGCACTAAGTGCCATGAGCTTGCATTGCTGATTCATGGCCAGGAGTTGGGCCTCTTTCTTGTCCAGTAACGCAGTCAACTTCACGTTCTCTTCCATGAGTTTCTGGACTTCAGCCTCTTTCTGTGCCTTCTCGCTCTCCAACTGAGTTGTTTTCGCGACCAGCCTGGTTCACGTCAAACAAAACAACAAATCACGGCTCGATCAATTGAAGCATGTGCTCCGTCTCAACTAAAAGCCTAAACACGCCCCCTCACGTGTGTGGGTTCCAAGCAACACGTGGACCGTAGTCGCTTATCGAGTGACGTAGAGATTCGAACCCATGACCTTTGGTCTGGCTCTGATACCAAATTGAAGCATGTGCTCTATCTCAACTAAAAGCCTAAGCTGATAGTTGGATTGCACATTAATGGTTATATGCTCAACCAATCAACAAGACTCGTTTTCTAGATCCTTATAAGTAATGTGTTGCGCAGAAACAATAGAAATACACGTGTTGCTAAAATATGACTACATGGGAAGGAACAGTTCATCGGTATAGTGCTTTTGGTACCAGAATCAACTACACGTAGTTTGGTTAAGACAGAGAAGTATGACTGACCGTTCAAAGAGCCTTTCGATTGTCTGGAACTGCTTTTCAGATGAAAGGAGAGTTTCTCTCACGCTAATGAGACTACTAACATAGGATTTGAGAGATTCAAAGTCTTGCTTGACGCGACAAAGCTCCTCATCATTTTCCGAGGCTCTTTGTCTCTGTCTAGAAGTTTCTTCAACTAGATCCTCAACTCTCTGGCGCATCTCGTTTATGATACAATTCGTGCCCAGTGCAAACCTTTCCATCTCTTCTAATTTTACAGACATGTTTTCGATTTGGAGTGCCTTCTTTCGAATCTCTTCCTCTCCTATCGTCACCTTCACCTTCTCAACAGCAGTTTCCGATTCAGCCATTAAAACCCTCTTAACGAGACTCTCCATAACATCCGTAACCATCTGTACACTTCGCAATAACTCACTAATATAGGCTCCATCTTGTTCATCAAGAGAACCTTGATTACTACAAAGCTTAATCCACGTTTCCTCATCTGGATCATCAGAAGAAGAGAGATCTACATCCTTTGACCAACCAGACAACGGAACACCATTTCTGTCAACTAGCCCCACTCCATCTAGTTGTTTGATACCACATGTCATATTGGCCAAATGAGGAACACCCATGACCCTAGCTTTTGTTTTCAGGTACGCCATCAATGATGCAGCAGTTCTGACCCTCCGCCAAAGTACGTCCAACTCCTTCTTCGCTTCTAATTCGGAATCCTGTATGCAAGATTTTACCTCTAAAAGTTTTGCTTCCAAAGCATCCGCTTTACACTGGCTCGGTTCCATCTCTTGCTTCAAATCAACATGTGTTGGTGTCATGTGAGAATTTAAAACTGAGAATTCAATATTGTCCTCTCCGGCCATAACACCTTATTAAGTCAAAAACGGCAGCTTGGTAAAGTTAGAAAAGAAACGAGGAACATTAAAAAAGCACCAACAAGTACCAAAAGAACCAATTGAATCGGAATTGTAGCATGTTGTGAATTGTTCCAAAGATAGGTACAAGGTACTAGGTATAAGTACAATAACAATCAAAATATGGTGACATAATAACCTTATGGTAACTCTATAATGTCTTGTAACTACATGAGAAACAGTGCTGCAATCATTTGAAAGCATTAAACGACACTAATGGTATGATATAATACATTTTTGAACGACTATCTAAAAGCTATAGTTAGAAGAAGAAAAATGCTCTTCCCGAGATAGATAGATGCTGATATTAACATTGGTTTGAAGTTCAATTCAGAAATTTTCATTTCTACATCTGAGATTGTGACTTTTATGATTCAACCATTTTAGTGACAATGAGATTCTCCTTTTATCTGAAAACCATAGGCTTATATACATTTGATCAAATATTGGATCAATAAAATAGGAGAAATTACACCAATCACTGGTGAACCAGGCAAACTATCTTCAATTAAACATCAACCCCAAAGGAGAAAAACAGATATTAGTGAATCAAAAGAAAAAAAAAAATCATTTAGCTTAAACCATATATTAAACCCTCCCCTACCAGAGCTTTAGGGGGTCCGAAATTATTCAATTTCCACAAGAACTGATAGAATCTAAAGTATGCATCGATTGAATCTCAATTATGAGAAATTAAACCCAAACAGGAATTTTATTTTTATTTGAAAAAATTGTTCTTGAAATAAAGCAAAATTGTAAAGCATCGTAATATCAGCAGCTAAAGAACAGTTTTTTGTCAAAAGAAAACACAAAGAGAGAGAGAGAGAGAGAGAGAGAGATGAGACCTTGCGATTTGGGAAGAAAAAAATGGAAGCGCACCGACGAAGCGGAGAGGGCCTCTGAAAACGACGACGATAATGCAGCTCCAACACAGAAACAGAGATTATTGAAATGAAAAAAATTGGCATTTGCTAAAGTCAGATTCTTTAAGAAAATATACTTACTACCCCATTACTTTGCATTATTGCTGTTTTGACCCACATTTAATTTCTAGAATAAGTTAATTTTTTTTTTTTTTTTTGGAGTGAAAAGGGAAAGTCAAAAGAGCCACAATGAGTTGAAACCACTTAGGTAATCGGTTCAAATCGAAAAGATGAATATATATTATTTCTGCTAACTTGGTTTGTTGAATTCTAAGAGTCACACTTAATCCGTGAGATGTACAAGTCGAATTTATGATAATTAGTTGTTACTTATGATAGAAATCATAATATTTATTACATAAAATTTAATACTAATTTGAAATAAATAAATTGTTATTTATAATAGGTATTGTAATATTTATATGTGAAATTGTGATACTATTTAGAGTAAAATGATTGTTACTAATAATAATATTGTAATACTTAATTATAACTAAAATTGTGATACTTAATTACAAAGTGTAATTCTAATGTAAATTTTTGATGGAGAAAATTAACTCGGGGTACGAATTAATTAACCCAATTAAATTACAGAATGACAAGTATAGGATTGAACGAATGTGAATAATGTAACAAAGGATAATAATGAACGAATATGGATATGAATATAAGTCACGGGGACAAATATCGTATTAATCAAGTATGAAATGCTATTACAAATGTAGGAATTGTGTAATAGCAAGACAAACGGTTAGATTAGGACAAGTTGCTTGTGTCTCAACAAGACAAGATGGAGTGTTTTTATACTCAATTTGGCCCTAACAACCCTGGAGAAAATGGTGGGGAGCCGTCTCAACCGCCCTGGACCGCAATCGGTACTGTAAGACTCGAACAACCTGAAGACCCCGCCACTCGGCCGAGCTCAGCCAAGTGGCTGACCTCAACATGACAGACCCTGGGGTGGCTGACCTCGGCTAAGGTCTGCCTTGGCACGAGCGCAGAGCTTGGCTGCCCGGGTCGGGCGGGTCCGGTTTGGTGCTCTGAACTTGGTTCGCTCCATATTATTCGCTCGGGGTCTATTTGTAATTATTCCATCAATATTGTAATACTTATTGTAGAAAATTTAATATCCATTTACATTTTTTTTAAAAAAAAATCCTTACTTATATAGATATATTAATTTTTTTTTTGAAAGCATGATAGATATATTAATTACTCCATATAATATATGTGAAATTGTATCGCATGTTGTTTGACAGCAATCGTTATACCCTACACCACGGCGCACATAGCACTGTGCGCCGCGCGCCTCCCAAAACGACGTCGTTTTGGGGTCGTTTTGGGAGGCGCGGTAAGAAGTTGCTGGGATTATGTGTATTTGTTCACACAGTTATGTGTATTTGTTCATACAGTTATGTGTATTGGTTTATACAGTTATGTACATTTTTTATACAATTATGTACATTCTTTTTATACAATTATGTACATCCGAATCAGAAAATTTGTGTGTATTATGTTAATAGTTGATGTGTATTATGTTAAAAGTTTATGTTTATTATGTATTATGTTAGATTATGTGTATTATCTTTTAAAAAGAGTATGTATATTTTGTTATATAATTATGTACATTCATGTATACAATTATGTGTATTCTAGTATAACATTATGTATGAACAACGGGTTTTTTTTAAAGAAAAAACTACTGCCATTCACTAGGGCGGGAAATTTCAAAAAAAAAAAAAAATTAAAACGACGTCATTTTGCATCTGGGCGCATAGTGCAACGCGCCCCGTGGTGTAGGATATAAATTGCCGTTTGACAGTGGAGCGCAGCAGTCCTCGTCATGTCAACACATGCAGCACATGACTCAGCAAGCTCAACAGAAGATTCAAAACAATCCCTTTCCCTCCCTTTTATAACTGCTTGTAACTAACTTTTGTTAACAAGTTGTTAATCCTCCTTCCCATCTCTAGCTCAGTATATATACTCTGTCTTCTGTAATGATCTCTTCTTGATGAATAATACACTTGTTTCCCTTCTTTCACTCTTACAATCTGATTTGTAAGTATTCCTGAAATGGTATCAGAGCCTTGATGGCTTGGAGAGCACCTACTGTAAACATGGTTCATCCGTCAACTTCAACAAGTCACATTCCTGTTCCAGCCCCGATTGCAGCCTCTGCTACTGCAGCTCCGGTAGGCTACGACCCTAAAGATCGCACAGATCCTTTATACCTACATCCGAATGAGAGCCCAGCTTTGCAACTAGTGACGGCGCAGCTGGAAGGTCGATCTAACTACCATCCATGGGCGAGAGCCATGGAAATGGCCCTAAGATCGAAGAACAAGATGGTGATCGTAGATGGAACAATGCCGATCCCCAATTCAGCTGATCCTAGGTTCTTCTATTGGGATCAATGCAGCACCATGGTCCTGTCATGGATACTCAGGGCCCTCTCTCCTACGATTGCCAGAAGTGTGTTGTGGATCAATACGGCAGAAGGAATTTGGAAAGACCTGAAGAAACGATTTAGTCAACAGGATGTTTTTCGTGTCTCTGAAATTCAGGCTGAAATCCACCAAACTAAACAAGGTGCGTCCACTGTAAATGAATATTTCACACAATTAAAACTATTGTGGGATGAACTGCTTGTGTTAAGACCTGTCCCTGCATGTGAGTGTTCACCAAGTTGTGCCTGTGGAAAGGATCTCTCTGAAAAGGTTAGGGTTCATCTGGAGAATGACATGCTCTCAGTTTTTCTCACTGGTCTCAATGAGAATTTTACCAACACCAAACGTCAGATTATGTTGATGAAGCCACTGCCTGACGTAGGGGAAGCCTTCTCCATGGTTTCTCAGCAAGAAAGGCAGGTCTCAAACACCCTTGGAGACAACATGGCAGGAGCCAGTGCCTTCTTTACCAAGGGAGACATCCACAATAAGAAGGGGTTTTCTAATCAGAAACCCAAACCTGTTTGTAGTTTTTGTGGATACACAGGTCATACTGTGGAGAAATGTTACAAAAAGCATGGTTATCCTCCTGGTTGGAAGCCAAGAAACAAAAGTACAACATCAGCAAACCATATTCAGACTTCCCTGCAAGAGACTGAGGAATCAGAGAGCAATTCTGCCTTTAATCAAGAAGATTACAGGAGGTTCTTGGAGTTCATGCAACTTGAAAGGTTTAATAACTCTCCTCTGAGTAATACACCTCATGTCAATGCTATAGCAGCCAACTTCATCCCAGATGCTAGGATGGAAGGTAAATCTGCTAAGCCTGCTGAAAATAGTCTAACAGAAATTGAATTGTCTTGGTTTCTTGATAGTGGAGCCACACATCATATTGTTTGTAATATGCATCTCCTACAAAATGCAAGAGGAGTCCAGGGTATATATGTTGATCTACCAAATGGACAAAAGGCACCTGTATCCCACATTGGGAGTGTCCAACTATCTGCTGAACTTGTTTTGGTGAATGTTCTGTGTGTGCCAGTTTTTCATTACAATTTGATATCCTTGGGAGAGCTGATAAGAGAATCAAATTGCAAGGTCTTGTTCCATTCTAATCTGTGTGTTATACAGGGTCAACACCATGGGAGGATGATTGGTCTAGCTGAGCTTAGGAAAGGACTATATCAACTCATCTTTCCTGCTTTTATTCAATGTAAAACTGCTGTCAATTTGTGTAGTTTTTGGCATGCAAGATTGGGTCATGCTTCTGAAGGAAAAATTAGATTCCTTCATACTGTAGATAACAAGATTTGTAATGACAAACCTGTTGCTTGTGATTGTTGCCATTTTGCAAAACAAAAGAGATTGCCCTTCCAGTCTAGTCTCTCTACTTCAAATGATTGCTTTGATTTGGTGCATGCAGACATTTGGGGACCCTATCATATTCCCACTATTTATGGTCACCAATATTTTTTGACTTTGGTTGATGATCATAGTAGGGCTACTTGGGTTTATCTCATGAGAAAGAAGAGTGAAGTCAAACAGCTAATACACTCATTCTGTGAAATGACTAGTACACAGTTTGGAAAGAATGTAAAATGTATAAGATCTGATAATGGGAAAGAGTTCTTGATGGAAGAGTTCTACCAAAACAAAGGAATTCTTCATCAAAGATCTTGTGCTTACACCCCTCAGCAGAACAACATTGTTGAAAGGAAGCATGGTCATATCTTGTCAGTAGCAAGAGCCCTAAGATTTCAGTCCAACTTACCTGAATACTTCTGGGGTGACTGCATTATGCATGCAGTTTATATAATCAACAGACTCCCATCTACAGCCCTGGACAACAAGATTTCATATCAGATTTTGTTCAACAAAGTCCCTCAGTATCAACACCTAAGGGTGTTTGGTTGTTTAGCCTTTGCTCTTGTTCCTAGCTGCCAAAGAAACAAGTTTGCACAAAAGGCCAGGAAGTGTATATTTCTGGGATTTGCTAATGGAGTTAAAGGATACAAATTGTTTGATCTGCAAACTAAGCAAATATTGTTGTCTAGAGATGTTAATTTCTATGAAAATCTCTTTCCTTATCAAAATTCAGGCATGACTCAGCAGGAGGAGTTGGTCTTGCCATCAGAAACTGTATCCTACATGAATACTGAGGATACTTCTGTTGAAACTCCCACTTCTGATATTGGACACAGTCCTGAAGTTCCACCCACAATTGATGAAAACTCTCAGCCTACACCATCAGATCAAATGGAGAGCATTATCACTACATTGCCACATCCAAGAAGATAAGCCAGAACAAGATCTACACCAGCCTATCTAGATGATTATTCTTGCCAAAATACCACTGTTAAAAGATCCTCTCCCCATGACATCTCTAAGGTCATGTCTTATGCTAACTTGTCTCAAGCATATAGGGTTTTTGCTGTCAATGCCTTGGAGGCTAAAGAGCCTAAAAACTACAATGAGGCAATCAAACAAGACTGCTGGAAGAAGGCCATGGAGGATGAAATATCAGCTTTACAAGCTAACAACACCTGGACTATTACAGATCTCCCACCTAATAAGGTACCTATTGGATGTAGGTGGGTGTACAAAACCAAACTCAAGGCTGATGGAACTATTGAGAGGTACAAAGCTAGGTTGGTGGCCAAGGGCTATACTCAAACACCTGGTTTAGACTACCTAGACACTTTTAGCCCAGTGGCTAAGATAACTACCATCAGAAGTTTGTTAGCTGTTGCTGCTGTCAAAGGCTGGACTCTTCATCAATTGGATGTAAATAATGTTTTTCTGCATGGGGACTTGAATGAAGAAGTCTACATGCAGCTACCTCCTGGTTTTTCCCCTCTAAAGCCTGGACAAGTATGCAAATTGGTAAAGTCATTGTATGGCCTAAAGCAGGCTAGTAGGCAGTGGAATGTCAAATTGACTCATGAGCTGCTAAGTATGGGGTTCACACAGGCTGTTTCGACTCTTCTCTGTTTATAAGAGGGCAATGAGAAGATTTTGTTGCATTACTGGTATATGTTGATGATCTGGTGCTAGCAAGTCCTAACTTGAATCATGTTCAACAGATCAAAAGACACCTAGACAATGTTTTCCACATAAAGGATCTGGGACCTCTAAGGTTCTTTTTGGGGCTAGAAATTGCAAGAAATAGTAGTGGTATCTCCATGTCACAAAGAAAGTATGCTCTAGAACTTTTGGAAGAAACAGGTTTCCTAAGCTGCAAGCCTGCCAAGACCCCTATGGTTACATCCATAAAATTCAGCAAAACTACTGGCAATAAACTTGAGGATGTTACTCAATTCAGGAGGCTTGTAGGTAAATTGCTGTATTTAACCATCTCAAGACCTGATATCAGTTATGCAACTCAACAGTTGTCACAGTTCCTTGATTGCC